GTGGGGTTGCAGGCTCGATCCCCAGTAGCTAGTGTGCAGGAGGCAGCTGATCAGTGTTTCTCTCTCATCATTGATGTTTCTCTCTGAAATAAAGAAATATATATATATATATATTTTAAAATTTTAATTTAAGAGAAATTTATTCTCTCAGAGTTGTGTTGGCCAGAAATCTGAAATCAAATTGTTGGGCAAGATAGGTTCCCTCTCTCCTAGCTTCTGGTGGCCCCTCTGCATTCCTTGGCTTGTGGGTGCATCACTCCAATCTCTGCCTCAGTCTTCACATGGCTTGCCCTCTGTGTTTCTGTGTCTCAAATCTCCCTACCCTTTCATAAGTATCCAAGAATACCAGTTCTTGGATTTAGGACCTGCCCTAAATCCTGAGATCCTTAACTTAATTACACCTGCATAGACCCAATTTCCAAATAATGATGTGTTCTCAGGTGTTGGGGGTTAAGACTAAGACGTACCTTGTTGAAGGACGTGATTCAACCCATTACATACCCTTTTCAGTCCTGAAATTGGCCTTCCTGCAGCATTTAGTGCTCTTGATCACTTCCTTTTGGAAACTATCTTCTCCATTGGCTTCCAGGATGTCAATCCTACCTGTCTGATCCTCTAGGTCAGGAGTTCCTCTTCTTCTGCCCAGCCCTGAAATGCTAAGGCCCCTAAGATTCTGTCCTGTCCTTAGCTCTCTTCTGCTCTTCATCTCCCTCAAGCAATTTCATTCATTCCCATGGTCTTCAATAAAGACATAACAGAGACATCTGGGATTATTGCAGACGTTAGGGCTGGAATGGGTCTTTGACTTAACCTAATGGCAATAGGAAAGGAATATTATAGGGTCAGAAGAGAGGCCAAAAGAACACAATATTTTAAGATTTATCTGGTCTTGGTATTTGGGATGGACTGGATTGGAGAAAGAGGTTAGAAAACTGGGGACCCTTTGGGAAGTTACTGCTATAATTCAGGTATGTGACAAGGCGCACTTAGACTAGGATGCTACCAAGGGAGATAGAGGAGAAGTAATGTTTTTCATGGCAGCTATAGTATTGACAAAAGAACGTCCAAACCTATAGAAAAATTTCATGAGTTAATTTGACCCAAAATTTTGAGGACATGCCTAGAAGCAAGATCTCAATGGATTAAGGAAATGCTTAGAATCAAAGGAGAATATGTAAGGAGAGTCCCATGAAATTCATTGGTGGAAGATTAAAGGGGCGGGAGAAAACAAAGTGGAGAAATCTCTAGGATTGGATAAAAAGCAACATGGAGAGACACAGAGGTGGTATGCAAGCAACAAGATAACAATGAGGAGTTTCTTGGGCTCGAGCCCAGCAGTTGTGCCTCTGAGGGATTTGAAAAAGAAAATGACACTGATCTCTCAAAGGTATGTTATCCTAGATGCATAAGAACAATGGACAGGGCTCTCTTAAGGTCAAGGTTGACCTTTGCTAAGGAGGCTATAGGCCTGGGACGTGATTACCCACCATGACCTGCCCAGTCAGGAATTTATGATCAGACCTTCCTGTGTGGTTACTTTAGGTCACTGAACTTGCCAGGCCTGCCATGTGGCCCCCTGAACTTGTAAGTTTTATTACATAACCCGGTCCCATTCACGGGAGTGTGCCACTTCATATATGCTTCAGTTCTCAGAACAATCCTGCAAGGAATATATTTTGACCTCCATTTTACAGATTAAAAAGCTCAGAGAGGGTAAGTGATTTGCCCAAGGTTACCCAGCAAGTTAATGGCCATGCTGGGGGTATAAACCCAGGTGACTCTGAGTCTAGAAATCAGAGGGAAGGCATGAGTCTGCTAAATAATATGTCTTGATAGGACTTTATAATGAAACATAGAAAGTGAAAAAAAAGAGCAAGGGACACAATGTGCGAGTTTTGGAGAGTGAGTTGTGAGTGGTCAGTGGTAAGAAGATCATGAAAATATGGTTTCCATCATCCTGAGCCTGGGATGCTAAAGATATGTGGACAAATGGAAATATTAGACTGGGGATCAGGAAGGAAGATAGGGATGGAAGGGCATCAGTAAAAAAGGGGAGTGGCTGACCGAATGGTCTCAGAGAGATGACAAAGGCTGTGACTGATTTGTGGGAGCACTTTACTTGTTTTCTCTAAAAGGTGCTGCGGCATTTCAGGTTTCTGTCCCGTTTATTCATAAAGGTATTGTCTTTTTTATTTATTTTTAATTTTTTAACTTATTGATTTTAGAGAGAGAGGAAGTGGGGGGAGCCATGGACTTGTTGTTCTACTTATTTATGCTTTTATTGGTTGATTCTTGTATGTGCCTTGACTGGGGATCAAACCCGAAACACTGCTCTAACCAACTGAACTACCAGGCCAGGGCCAGAAAGGTATTTTCTTAACCTCCGATTTCTTCCTCTTAACTCCATTTCCTGAAGAGAGTCTGCCAGAAATGAGCTCCCCAGCAAAAGCCAGTAGGTGAGCAGCTGCAGCTCACCCGGCTCCCAGGGAGGGGCGCTGATGCTCATTTCAGATGATTGGCAGCAGGGGAGGGTGAGCTGACCTGGAGGGCTGAGCAATGGGTTGGTGACAGGACAGGGTAGTTTGTGCTCAAAATCATTTGTCTGACAAAACAGAGCGTTTTCAGGTGTTGGTAATGGCCTCTGGAATTTCAGCCTTTTCCCCTAATGAGATCCAGGAGAGACTGGGATGAGCCAAACTGTCTAGTTTTTCCCTTTGGCAATGAATTGGTATGCCCCCTGGGTTGCTGTTACGGTCCTGTCATTGCAACCAGATTACTTTCATGCTACACATCGCAAAATAGAACCCAGATGAACCCGAGAACACAGTATGTGTGCGGCCGAGACATTGCCTTGGTTCACCCATGTCAGAGCATCCCTCAGCCTTCCCTTAAACACAGGGCTCCTGCACAGATAACTCCCTGGCCAGGAAGGCCCCCTCCCTTTTTGCTCTTCGCAGCTCGCAGCTCGGTGGGTGAAATGTCACTTAGCCAACCGGCCTGAGCAGCTCCGTCCCTCTCCCACGGCGCTCATTCTCTCTCATGCCTCTCCTTTGTAGAGTCCCAGTTGTGATTTCACATTTATTTCTGGATTTATCTGATTAATGTTTTGCTCCCTGCTGGGGCTGGAAGCTGCAGGAAGACCGAGGCCCTGGCTGTTTTCGCTCTGATGATGGGCACTGTGCCTGTGCACTTGGCCACAGCCATCTTGGGTCTAATCCAGGGGTGGGCAAACTTTTTGACTCGAGGGCCACAATGGGTTCTTAAACTGGACCGGAGGGCTGGAACAAAAGCATGGATGGAGTGTTTGTGTGAACTAATATAAATTCAAAGAAAACATCATTACATAAAAGGGTACGGTCTTTTTTTTCAATAGTTTTATTCATTTCAAACGGGCCGGATCCGGCCCGCGGGCCGTAGTTTGCCCACTGCTGGTCTAATATCTGACTTTGCTGCCAGGTACCTAGATCCCACATCCAGGGATTGCTCCATTACCAGGATTCTTCCTCTGGCACCTGGGGAGCAGTTATAAACCCTCCAAACTTACTTGCCATCTATTGTTGGCTATTAATGATGGTGATTAAAGAAAATTTGAATTTATTTAAGGAAAAGGGAATGGGAGATGGGGACATCCAAAGGGAGGGGCTACACAGCACTGAGACAAAGGGTATTGGGTCCATGATGGCAGCAAAAATATATTTAGGACAGTAAAACAAGGAAGGACACAGAAGAAGCAACAGGAGAGCCTAGGCTGGGCTGCTTTGGCTCACTGGGTAGTCAGAGAAAAGGGGGCCTTGAAAACAGTTCAGGGAGTTAGTCTGGGATGAGCTGCTGCTGCCCATTGCTCTCCTGGTTGCAAGTTTCATGGGGTTCCTTAGAGGTTGGGAGATACATGCCTGTGGGGGAAGGGGGTGGGGAAGTAATGGCACCGGTGTGCTCCTTGAAGAGCGAGCACACATTGGGTCCTTTGTCCTGAGCATATTTCTCTCACTCTTGCAGGAAGTCTCAGGGGAGCTCTCAGGGGAGGGTCTCAATAGAATATCCATCAGCTCTCCAGGTGTGCTGTTTCAGGGTCATGGTCTCCCCTGATTGGTCGGTGCCAGGGCAGGGGGTCATTAGTCAATGTAGCTGGTCCTGAGGCAGCTAAGGAGTCACTTGTCTGGTTTTGCTGTTTTTCTGGTCCTGGAGCTGAAATGCACTGAGGCCTGGATGTTATCTTCAGGGAGGAAAAGGTCAGGGAGTCTAAACTACCTGACCATCGAAATGAAAGATCTGGGGTCTAAATCACATGACCAGTGATATGCTAGGGGAGGATAGGTTACCCTGGGGACGAGGTTCTTATTTTCCCAGTTTTGCCCCTTGCTGGGCACTCAGGGCTTTCTTCCCTGGTGAGTTTCTGTTCCTGGCCAATCGTTCTTGCTCTGCTCATGTAGGTCTAACAACCACCCACTCACTTTTCTGGCTGAACCTACTTTGCTGCCATTGAGGGTTTAAATGGAGTTGGGAGCTGAAAGAAGGGGTGTTGCCCTCCCTAGAGGTTGCAGGGCCGTCAGCAGGGTGGTCGTCCAGCTACAGAGCTGTTGACTTGGTCACTTCCATTTCCTGAGACAGGTCACCTCACCTATTTCCTCTCCCAAATTCCTGAATGTGGGGTTTGGAGATAGACCCGTGGGCAAGCGTTTCACAGGCAAACCAGCTTCAGGAAAACCTCCGGTGGATAGGAGTTGCCTCGAGGTTCCCCGAAGAATCTTTTTTCTTTTGTTGGATGTGCTTTTAAAATATATTTGGAGTTTACCTCTGGCAGCTAGAGACTAGTGAGTAGGGAAAAGGAACCATCAGCTTCTTTGCTCCCTGGTACTGGATGGAGTGGAAACCCAGCTGAGAAGTACTGCTGCTCGTGATGATGATAAAAAGAGCTCCCGGGACCCAAAGAAGCTGTCCAAAAGTTTGTAAAACAGGCTCCTACTGCAACTCTGGGGGGGGGGGGGGGGATGTCAAGAACAGGCCGTGCCCGTGCACCTACTTTCAGGACGCATCTGGACCAGCTGGAGGCTCTGAGGCTCATAATTTGCTCCCACTGTCTCATCAACATCTGCTGAGCAATTTGCGAAGGACTCCTGGCTCCCAGCTGCTCTTGGTGAAGCAGCCGTGAAGCAGCAGCTTTGGCTGCCGCCCAGTGGCCCCGCCTGTAGTCTTCTGCTCAACGTGGCTCACTCCAGGTCTTAGCAGCTGCAAGAAGCCAGCTCAGGCTGCCCTGAGAAGCCAACCCTGCAACCAGTGACTCAGCGGGGACATGGTGGTGGGACATGGGGCCTGAGGGACCAGCGCTGACAGAAAAGGAGCAGACAGAAAGGGGAGTTCTGGCGACGAGCACAGCAGTAGAATTGCAATCTAATGAATTCACAGTAATTCCATTTGTGACACTGACCCCTCCCTGTGGGTATAGATAAGCAGATCCCCTGCTTTTTGCTTCCTAAAATGTAGCCTGAACCAAGTTCTAGATTCCAAAGCCAAGTGATCCCTCTTTCCTTTTCTGGCACCCACCCTCCCCCTCTCCCCACCCCCAAGCCCAAGCAGTTATATAGGAGCATCTAGAGATTTTTATTTGGGAGAGGAAGGGCCACAACAAAAAGATGGTGCCAACACACCAGGCATCTGAACGACCCCTGCACATGCAGGACACTGATGGCCACTCGCTCTGGATCTGGTGACTGATGAATGTGCCCGTGATGACAATGTGCCCACAGCTGCAAAAACCCCTTGTTACCTCCCTTTTTTTAAATTTCAAGACACCCCACCCCAGTTAGCCTTGTCATTTTCAGTTGGGTCTCCTAGCACATTGGGCTTTTACTCCTGTGGGCTCAGAGCCCCCCACCCCCAAATGGTAAACATGCACCCCCTAAAGATACAGGGAAAGCAGCACAGGATGCTGGAACACGGAGAGACGGCACGCTTCCTTTCTCATCACCCTCCAGCTTGGGAGAGAGGCTGCCCTCCATCCTGCCAATGAGATGGAAAGGGCATGGAGTCGGCACCACCTTCCCCTGTGCTGTGCCGTGGGGCCCCACTGTCGCACCCAGGCCCTGCCTGGCTTTAAACAAACCTCTTGTCTCAGGAAAAAGACATTTGGGAGCTAGCCAATGCGGGGCTCAACTGAATATTTAAAGCAACATTTTCTTCTTGCTCAGCTTCTGTTCAACCCCAAGCTTCCATCCTGCTCTCCCAAGGGGATTTCTGATGCTTGAAGCCCCCGACCTGGCTTGGAGCCTTCCCAGCAATTTGGGGGGCCCCGTGGAAGGTGTTTGGTAGCAGCAACCCCCTCCCCGCCCAGCCTCCCTGCATTCTCCCAGAGCGGTCTTGGGTTTTCATCAGTCTCTTTCCCCGTGGCCTGCTGTGGTGTCCTGACTTGGAGGTGCCCAGGGTGGCAGGGGAAGTGTCAGGTGCCTTTGCTTTCTGTCCTCTCTTCATCGTTGCTGACGGCTCGAAGCTGCCCCTGGGCCGCAGGCTTTACCGACAGGACCAAGCGTTTGCGGAACGTCTCGCAGAGCACGATGTACACAAAGGGATTGAGGCAGCTGTTGGCATAGCCCAAGCTGATGGCCGCGTTGTACAGGTAGACAAAGGTGAGCGTCGGGCGGCTGATGGACAACTGGGTCAGCTGTAGCACGTAGTAGGGTGCCCAGCATATAAAGAAGACCAAGCATATGGCAATGGCCGTGCGGGTCACCTTCTTTGTCCGCAGCCGGATGCTGCGTTGAGAGGCGGGGGCCACGGAGGACGTCATACGCTGCAGAATCCTCACGTACGCAGCCGTGATGACCACAAAGGGCAAGGCAAAGGCCAGGAAAAACTGGTACAAGGTGAACCAGTAGAGGTCAGTGTCCGGGTTGGGCAGGCGGATGCCACAGCCCACCGTGCCCCCTGGGAAGGGGATGAGCCTGGCATAGAGCCACACAGGGGTGATGCTGATGAAAGAGAGGGCCCACAGGAGGCAGATGACCAGGGTGGCCACAGAAGGCTTCCGGAACTTGGTGGAGGAGATGGGGTGGACAGTGGCCAGGTAGCGGTCGATGGCCATGGCAGTCAGGATGTAGGTGCTGGTGAACTGACTGTTGGCGTCCATGGCCGTGATGAGGGTGCACATGGTCTCTCCAAAGTGCCAGACCCCGTTGCCCATGAGCTGGTGGATCATGAAGGGCATGCCCAGGAGGAAGAGGAGGTCCACCACCGAGAGGTTGATGATGAAGATGTCGGGGACGTTGCTGCACCAGTGCAGCTTGGACTTCTTCACCACCGCGAAGATGACCATGGAGTTCCCCACGATGCCCAGGAGGCAGATGGTGCCGAACACCGAGGGCATGATGATGTTGACATAAGAGACACTCCCTCTGCGAGGAGGTGGCCCTGGGGACAGAAGGCCAAGTGTCAGTCACTAGGCACGGACTCCGCTCTCTCAGGGCTGACATCCTTCTGGCCTGCTCAGCCTCCGGCGACACGCTTGCTCGCCTCTGCATCCTCCCTGCCATTCCAGCTCAGGGTCCACCATTTATCTAGAATTCTCTCCTACCATTCTCCCTCCACACACTGTGGCTCACCTTGGCCTCCTCCACCGGTTTCCTGGTCAATCCTCCTAGATTCTAACCCACTCCCTGTTCATTGAAGAACCCAGTCCTTTGCCTCCCGCATTGTTTCAGAAGACAGAGAGCCAACAACCACAGCTATGGGCCCCCGCTGGCTTAACAGAAGGACATGAAAGTGTGTGTGTGTGTGTGTGTGTGTGCACATGCACGCGCGTGCATGTATGTACTTGCTCTTTTTCTATTTGCAGCCTTGACCATTTCATTTTAGAAATTGCTGGTTGGAGCTGTGACTGCTTCCTGGGCATCTCTGTGGGCGACTGTCTTGTGGAGGCTTCTGCCCATGAGGCCCTCAGCCCTCCCCTCTCCTGGGACCCTACCGGGGATTGCCTTGGCCTGGGTCTTCTGAGCCTGGGCCCCCACCCAGGGAGCAGAACCTGAAGCGGGTGCTGCAGCCCCACCGCCTGAGAATTGTCTTCACACAAACCTCTCCTCTTTTTCCTTCCTTCCCATCTCCCTCAAAGCTAGGATTGCAAGGCATCTCAGCTCCGGAGATGTCAGGCAGCTCCACTCACCAGGAAAGTTAATCCCTGTGAGTTACCCCTTCCCACAGCCTTTCCAGCGGGCAGCCCGGATGGTTCAGATCCCATTGCTGCGGCTGGAGTAAAAAGCCAAAGGCACTGGTGAATAAGGGAGCCTCCAGCTGCCTCCCCACAGGCTGTCCCCCAGCTTCTCTGGCTGGCTTTTCCAGCCTGGAATTTTTCCTGCAAAGCACATTTGGAACTCATCAGTGAGCCCTCGCCGCCGCCGGCCACCATCCTTGCCACTTCTGGATGTGCCTTTGCTCCAGCTCCTCCTGCCCTTGCCTGCCCCGCCCCCTTCTCCCCTTCCCCTTCGAGCCAAGCAGACTGCAGACCTGCTCATGAAGCCCTGAAAGTTTCCCAGGCAGTTGGGCTCAGAGATGATCCTTCTCCTTTTCCCTCCCCAGCGCCAGGGGGGCGGCTCCCCTCCGACCCTACTCACCTGCGGAGGTGAGGTTGTCCTGGCCGGCCGAGGTGTTGCTGGCGTTGGGGCCGGTGGTCAGCAGCAAGGCTTCCAGGTCCATCCTGCGGTGCCTGTGGCCCGCTGGCCCGTCGCCCACGCAGGCTGCGGCAGCCTCCGGCGCCCGGAGTCCCGTCCTGGAGCGGGAGCCCGCAGTCCCGAAGGGGGTCTTCCGGGCAGCCTGCAGCTTCAGCTGCCTCTAAGCCCCACTGCTCTTCCCACTCCCTCCTTCCCGGTTCCCACTGACATCACCTAAACACATTAACATTCGGAGGCAGATGAACATTAACCTCTTCAGTCCCGGGCTGCAGCTCCCACTTCTGACTGCCCGCAGAGCCAGCGGCCAGGGAAGCCCAGCAGGGAGGGGCTGCCGTCCCCCTGGCAGGGCTGTGTCTCCTGTGCTCACAGGGGGTGCTGCTTGCTTCCTGTGAGGTGCCTGCAAGGGACAATGGGCTGCCTCCCATTGGAGGAAAGACAGAGCCTGGCCTGTCCCCTAATCCCAGGTCTGGGTGGCTGGCCACCTGGAGGGGACAGTATGGCTGTGCTCACAGCATGCCTGCCCCGCAGGTCACCCTCAGCCCCTTCCTAGAGCCCCATGGATCCCAACCATCTTGCTGGAGCGACTGCCAGTGTCCTTTCGAAGCTAAGGAGTTGCCGGCTGCTGAGCCTTTGACGGGGACTCCGAGGTGACTCCATGCTGGTGATGGCCAGAGTCTCGGAGACCAGCAGGGATAAACTCCCGCCTGCACAGGGTCAGCATGGACTAGACTCACAGAGGTTTTATTTTCCTAAATGCTCCGAGGTCCTTGAGGTTTGACCTGGGATTCCTTGAGACACATTTCAGAGCATCGGCCCCCAAAGAGGTCGTTAACCAGGAGCAGCCTTAGAGGGCGAAGCATGGAGTGAATGCTCTGCCGAGCATCCTGCGGCCGGCCTCAGAGCCCACAGCTGCCACCACCTCCAGTGCCAGACTCGGGAGCTGGGGGTTCAAGTTAACCATCGTCTGGTCCTTACACACTTCTTCAGAGTCGTTATTTGCTTCATCCAACAAATATTTATTGAGCACTTACTACTTGCCAGGTTCTGTAATGAAAAAGAGCAATCAAGTCCCTGAGGCCCTGTCCTCATGGAGATTACATTCAAATTGGGGAGGAGACAGAAAACATACCAAACCATGGAAAAGACCATTTACGATATGGTGATCAGTGCTGTGAAAAACTTAAAGCTGGGCCAGGGCCCAGGCAGCAGCAAGGAGGTGGGGGTTGCTGTTTGACACAGGAAGGCCTCTCTGAGGAGTGTTTTGAGAAGAATCCTGAAGGAAGTGAAGAGACTGTTTGGACATATCTGCAGGAAGAACATTCTAGGCAGTAGGAATAGCTAGTGCAAAGGCCCTGCTGCAGGAGTGTGCTGGGTGTCTGTGAAGACCAATCAGTGTGGCTAGAGGAGAACAAGGGAAAGATTAGCAGGAGACACATCAGAGAGGAAACAGTGGGGAGGGTGGGTTCTGTCAGGCCTTGCGAGCCATTGTAAGGACTTGGCTTTCCTCTTAGGGGAAACGGGAGTCCCTGGAGGGTTTTTGGCTGAGGAGGGATATGATCACACAGGTTTTTAAAAGATCAGCCTGGCCCGGCCTGTGTGGCTCAGTGGATTGAGTGTCAGCCCATGCACCAAGAGGTCACTGGTTTGATTCTTGGTCAGGGTATATGCCCAGGTTTCGGGCTCGATCTCCAGTAGGGGGCATGCAGGAGGCAGCCAATCGATGTTTCTATCTCTCCCTCTCCCTTCTCTCTCTCCAACAACAACAACAAAAATCAATAAAATGATTAGATTGTTTCTGGGTAGCAAGGGAAACAAATTGAAAACACGTTTTAGCTTGGGTTTCCTTGAAAGCAGAGGCTGATAAGCGAAATAAGCCAGAGAAAGACAAGTATCACATGATCTCACTTATATGTGGAATCTAATGAACAAAATAAACTGATGAACAAAATAGATCCAGAGACATAGAAGCATGGAACAGACTGTCGAATCCGCAGAGGGAAGGCAGGGGAGGGTGGGTGGGCAGGAAGAGATCAACCAAAGAACTTGTATGCATATATGCATAACCCATGGACACAGACAATAGGGTGGTGAAGGCCTGGGGTAGGGGATGGGGATGAGCTAGAAGAAGTCAGGGGGGTTGGGGGGGGGGCAGAGGCAGAGGGAAGGGGACGTATGTAATACTCTCAAATATAAAGATTTTAAAATAAAAGAAAGTAGAGGCTGAGACATGGACTTATGTCCACATGGCTTTTCTGAGAGATCATCCAAGGAGCCAGGCACGAAGTAGTAGGGACAATGAGACAAGAAAGGAGAAAAGTCAACATAAGGGTGTATTTTCGTTGTTGCTTCTGTGGGCGTCAGGAGCTTGAGTGTACCAGGGCCCTTGAACAATGCACAGACTGTTCCCCAGAATCACCCACCCGAAGGGTAGGAGGCATATGCATTGGGAAGGGGGCGCCATAGGTTGTGATGCAGACCTGACTTGCCCTGTGGGAACCCGGGCACAGCAGTGGATGGGAATGGCAAGGCCCTCCTCTGCCTGCTCAGTCGGGGACCAGGAGCCACTCAAAGAGTGTGAGACCAGCTGGGAAGCTGAGGCCGGCCCTGCAGGGACAGGCACTGCCCGCTGAACTCAGTGCTTGCAGCGGGGCAGCGAGTTTTTGAAGGGGAATCAGCAGCGCGTCATCGCAGCGGCTGCTGCTTTGTCCCTGCCGTTGCGTGAGGGAGTCAGGCCAGCAGTTCGCGGTTCGCTTTCTTCATCTACACAAAGGGCTAATGACACAGCTCAAATGTGCAGAGACTGCGTAGCAGGCTGTTTCTGGCTCTGCAAAGAGACGCTTGGGGAGCCCACGTGCAGCACCCTCCCCTGGCAGATGCCCCCAGCTTTGCTTTTCCTCATTCTCCTTCCACTGAGCATGGTGCCAGCGAGATAGTCTGTTCCTGCAGGCCACCACTTGCCCCAAAGCCCGGTGCTGGGATTCAGAGCTTTACAGTCAATATCGCCAAACCCCCCAGACAAGGCTGTGCTGCCCACAAACGCCTTCTGAGGGCAGAACCTTTGACCTACTCTCCTCCAAGCCATCTGGCTCTGGCCCTGTTGCTCAGCCCTGCCCTGCAGTCATGAGGAAGACCAAGCCTATACACAGCAATAAACCCCTTTTCCTCCCAGCCATGTGCCCCTACTCACCACAGCCTCCTCAGGCCTCCCCAAGATTGTGGTGTAGCTACCTGACTACCCAGCGCTGATGGCCACCTGTCCTGTACGTCTCAGGACTCGGCTGACACCTCCATGTTCTGAAGGCTCATTGAGAGTCACTGCATCAGATTCCCACTTGTTCCCCTCACTCCTGTCTTGCCTCTTCCACTACACCCAATAGCAGGAGTATTCTTTTTTTGCTGTTGTTAATCCTCACCCGAGGATAGTTTCCCCTTGATTTTTAGAGAGAGCAGAAGGGAGGGGGTAAGACACAGAGAGAGAAACATCAATGTGAGAGAGACACATTGGTTGGTTGCCTCCTGCACATGCCTGACCAGGGCTGGGATCCAGCCTGCAACCGAGGCATGTACCCTTGACCAGAATCAAACCCAGGACCCTTCAGTCCACAGGCCAATGCTCTATCTACTGAGCCAAACTGACTAGGGCAACAGGAGTATAAAGATAAATCTTGCCCTGGCCCAATAGCTCCGTTGGTTAGGGCATCATCCGGATACGCTAAGGCTGAGGGTTCGATTCCAGTTAAGGCACATACAAGAAGCAACCAATTGCTCTATCTGGTTTGGTCCAGTGGATAGAGTGTTGGACTGTGGACTAAAGGGTCCCAGGTTCAATTCCAGTCAAGGGCACATGCCCAGGTTGCAGGCTCAATCCCCAGTAGGGGGCGTGCAGGAGGCAGCCAATCAATGATTCTCTCATCATTGATCTATCTCTCCCTCTCCTTTCCTCTCTGAAATAAAAATATATTTTTTTAAAAAAGAAGCAACCAATGAATGCATAAATAAGTGGAACAACAAATCGATGTTTCTCTCAAAAATCAATAATTTTTTTAAAAAAAAGACAAATCTCATCACCCTACTCCACTGTTGAAAACACTTTAGTGGCTCCCAATTGCTTTAAAAATAAAGTTAATCCCCTATCAGAATGTATTGGATATGACATTTTCCTGGTTACCCAGAAGGTGACAGCCTCCCACCCCCGGGAAACCAAGGCCTGGAGAAATTCTTTGGGAAGGGAAGTCCCAGCACCTCTGAACAGCCCCGGCAGGGGAGCTGCTGGTGGGATAAGCAGCAGTGGACGAGGCCTTCTTTATCCGACGGGATGTGCAGACCCTGGGGCTGTAGGAAGCAAGTAGCGGCACTGAGCTTCCCCAGGAGAGTGAACGTCGTCATGATAATAGGCAGGGCCCGCGGAGTTACCAGGATGTCTAACCTGTAGAGCAGCGGTTCTCAACCTGTGGGTCGCGACCCCTTTGGGGGTCGAACGACCCGTTCACAGGGGTCGCCTAAGACCATCGGAAAACACAGATATAATCACATATTGTTTTTGTGATGAATCACTATGCTTTAATTATGTTCAATTTGTAACAATGAAATTGGGGGTCACCACGACATGAGGCACTGTATTAAAGGGCCGCGGCGTGAGGAAGGTTGAGACCCGCTGCTGTAGAGACTGCTGTGGCTAATTGATCATGGAGTCTCTAAACCCAAAATCTATGAGCCGCCCGCCCACCAGTTAAGTTTCTATTTGATTTGTATATCTGGAAAAAAAACTTCAGGTGTGGTAAACAGAGGTCTGACGTTAGCCACAATGATTGACAGCGCAGTTCCTGCACCGATCCCGGGCCTGAGCCAGTCACTGATCAGGGAGCCTGGGAAGAAGTGGAAGTGGGCCCTGTGATCTTCAGACCCACTTATTTCCCTGCTGGGCTAGATAGGCTCAGCCGCTGGCAGAATTACCGGATTGGCTCTTGGACTGGCAGAGCAAGGGATCTGATGATGAGAAAAGTCCAATGGAAATCCCTCCGTACCAAAGTGATAAGCCAAAAGCAACGCTGCACCCTCCCGGGAGTTGAAGGGATTAATAATGTCATCAAGGCCTTTAGAGAGGCAGAGGTGGTGGTTTTATCACATCCCCACTTCCCTCTCAGTTTGGCCAGTGGAGAAGGCACATGGGCCTTAGAGAATGACGGTGGATTACCATAGACCTCATTACGTGGCGACCCCGACTGCAGCTGCTGTTTCCGATGTGGTGTCATTGC